CAGTCCGAAAGCACCAGCTGCTCTGTAGGAGAGTCACTCGCTTGGAACCCACAGGGGCCGTTCTCCCCCACCCTAGGGTTGCTGTGAGTCGGCACCGCCTCCATGGCAGTGAACTTGGTCTGGGTTTGTTGGAGGAGGCCTGACGCCCTCGGTGGCGGCGGGGTAGAAGCGGAGCTGACTGGGCTCAGCGCTCCCTGGCTGGGCCCTCAGCCACTGGACTCGGGGCCCCAGCTGGGTGTGGGGATGGCAGAGCTCTCTGGCCAGCTCTTGCTCACACACCACCCAGCGCAAAGGCCCAGCATGCTCCTGGCTGGTCCCAGCAGCTTCGTGGGGAGCTGTGTGGTGTGGGGATGGGGCAGAGCATGTATCTAACAACCCTTCCCTCTGCAGGGGCCCGTGAGAGCGTCCATCCAGGAGCGAGTCCTCCCTGACAGCCCTCTGTACCACAACAAGGTCCAGTTCCCTCCCAGTGGTGGCCTGGGCCTCAACCTAGCCCTCAGTATCCTTTACAGCCGCCAGGCCAGGCCAGGGGTGGGGACCTGGGGACATCTGTGCCTCCTACCGTTCCTTAATGCCGTGCTCAGATCCCTTCGAATACTACATCTTCTTCTTCGCCTTGAGCCTCATCACACAGAAGGTAGAGGAGGGTCTGCTGGGCAGGCTTTGCCCCAGGGGGCTTGGGGTCCATCCCGTCCCTCCAGCTGGCTCCTCCTCCTGCCCTGAGCCACACCTCCAATGTGAGGACTGCAGATCTGCCGGCAGACTGACCGCCCCTCTCCCCCGGCCCCTGGGAGAACAGGGCAGAGCAGGGCACTGCCCCCCAGCCCTCTCCCACCTCTCCCCCACCCGTTCTCTTTCCTTCTGCCTGTGCCCCATGCTGCTTCCCACCCAGTGTGATTTTGCTAAGCACCCAAGGCCCTGTGCCCAACTGCAGTGCCATGCACACTGCCAGATGGCGCCCAGGGCAATACACCCACAATACACCTGCCTTTCCAGCCCCTGCCTTCGTCCCTGCACATCCGAACGTCAGACTGTGCCTACTTCCTGCTGGTGGACAGGTACCTGTCGTGGTTCCTGCCCACAGAAGGCAATGTGCTCCCTCTGCTCTCCTTCAGCCCCGGCGGGGCCAGCCCTTCACCCGCTCCCAGGTAAGGCCCCCTCGAGGCTTCCCTGGCCCCCCGCTGTCGCCCACAGAGAGTTACATGGTCTGGCTGTATGGCCCACAAGCTCAATGGTGTATCTATTGGTCTGGGTTTTTTTTTGGACCAGTCACCTGGCATCAGGAAGCCCTTTGAGTTGCTGCATCAGCAAGGCCCCGGTGTGGGGAGGCAGCTGGTTTGGGCTTTGCCCTAAACAGTAGCTCCACCTGAGAGCAAAGCGGAGAGTCGATGAAGGCCCTGGGATTCCTTGTTCTGGAGAGAGGACCTGCCGGCCGAGCCCGAGTGCCACGTCTCTGCTGGCCCCAGAGGTGGGCCTTCAGACTGTAGCCATCCTCAGCCAGCCAGGTCTCGTGCTGCCCGCCTCCGCCCCAGGAGGGCTGTGTCCAGCCCATCTCAGCTCAGGGAGCAGCCTCGGACCTCAACTTGCCTGTCTCATCTGGGCGCTCCATTTTCTTCCCAGCCGGCTCCTTTCCCTTGTGCCTCACTCGGCCCTGCCCATGCCGGCCTACTGTAGACCCTTCCCTCCCCTGTGTCTGAACAGAGGCCTTCACAACGAGGTGGACCAAAAGGCTGGGCATAGCGGGACTGTCTGGGCAGGCAGGGCATGGTAAGTGGGTCTGGGCCTGGTTCTGTTAGGCTTCAGGTTGGGACTCATTCATGGGACTTCTCAGACCTTCCTCTCTGATTGTCAGATGGTTGGCTCTTCGCCACATTGGTCTTGCCCTCTTTGAGTTCCCAAGTAAGTTCCGGCCCTGCCCATCTGTCAGAATCTGGAGCTCTGTATCCCATAGACCCCCTTGGGCTGGGCCACTTCTCCCCAGTCACAGACTCAATCCAGGGTCACAGTGTATGGCATCCCTGTCTCTCGGCTCCTCTTTTCTGACCCTTCACCTGGGGTTTGCTGGTGCTCCTGGGCAGGCAGGGTGTGCTTGGTCCCCAGGGAGCCTCCTTAGGGCGTCATCTGGTCAGGAGAGGTCCCCAGGCATGCTGCTCACAATGCTACACCCAGTGCATCTTGCCCGAGCGCTTCTCTTGTGCTGTGTGCCTAAATGACCTTTGTTAGGTTGGTTCCGTCATTATTGTTGCCTTCGAGTTGGTTCTGACTCGTAGCAACTCAAAACGAGACTGCCCGGGCCTGCACCGTCCTCACAGCGGGCCCCCACGTGTGAGCCCATCGCACAGCCCACTGTCAGCCCAGTTCATCGAGTTCTTCCTCTCTGTCACTGCCCCTCCAGTTGCCCAAGCTGGTGCCCATTTCCAGGGACTGGCCCCTCCTGACAACTTGAGTTGTACAGAGTATGTAGACAAAGTCTTGTCGCCACCCCTGCCCCCAAGGAGCATTCTGGTGGGACCTCTTCCAAGATAGATTTGTTTGTCCTTCTAGCAGTCCGTGGTACATTCCCTGTCTTCATCGGCACCACAAAGGCATCGATTCTCCGGTCTTCCTAATTCAGTGTCCGTCCAGCCCTCACATGCATCGGACGGAGGCCATTAAAAATACCACAGCTTGGGTCTGACACACCTTAGTCCTCAAAGTAACAGCCTTGCTTTTCAACACTAAAGAGGTCTTGTGCAGCACAGTTACCTAATGCAATCCGTCCTTGGATCTCTTGGCACTGCTTCCGTGAGCTCTGATTGTGGATCCAAGCCAGGGGGAGTCCTGGGCAGCTTCAGGCCCTGCAAACTTGTCTGTGGTTTGGCTAAAAGTTGAGTCAGGTGGTGAGTTCATGGCCAGAAGGGTGACTCGTGGCCAGGGTCTGGGGTTCCACCCGTCCCTGCCTGACCAGTCAGCCGGTCTCTTAGGATTTGGTCCCTTTTCGCCCCTCCATCTGGCCTTCCAGTGTGCTCCATTTCAGAGGAGTCAGAAGTAGCTGAGCACCATGCTGTTCTCCACTCTGGGTCACAGAGGCTGAGGTTCAAGTTGGCCGTCAGTGTTCTGGACTGGTTGTTTCCAAGTGACCGTTCCGTGTTCTGCGACCCACTCACCAGAGCCGTGTGGAACGTTGTCTTTGTGCGCAGTTGACCTTGATGTCCCCCAAGACGATAGTCTGGAGCCCCCGCCCCGTGATGTCTTTATAACATTTGGGCTTGGTTTCTTGTCCTTGTAGGACACCCGCCATGCCCTTCGCCTCCTATGGTTTCCATCACACCAGCCTCCTGAAGCGCCACATCTCCCACCAGACGTCAGTGAACGCGGACCCCGCCTCCCACGAGATCTGGCGCTCAGAGACCCTGCTCCAGGTGAGCGCCAGGGAGCTGCTCAGCCACCTTCCCTGTGGTCCACAGCCTGCCCCCAGCCTGGGCTGGGCCCCAGCCTGGGCTGGGCTGAAGTTGGCGGCATTTCCTACTGTGACGTTTGGACCCTCCAGAAGAAGCACGCCCACATCTCATACTTACCTGTATGCGGTCGTCTATATTATTCTCTGCCTGTCGGAGTTCTCCTGTTCTTTTCCTCCTGATACCGCTATCGTTACGGGAGCCCCTCGCCTACTGCGACACTCCCCGACTCCCGGAGCGAGCTCCCTGTGTTCTCCTCAGGAGGAATTCTGGTGGTATTGTGAGTTAGGGGTTGAGCTGTGAACTGCAAGGTTGGACAGGCTGCTCTGAGGGAGAAAGATGAGGCTGCCTGCACCTGTTAACCTTCTGTAGGGTCTCTATGGGGACCTGGTCGTACGGTGGTTACCCCCTGGGCTACTAGGTCAGCAGTTCGAAACCACCAGCAGCTCCGCTGGAAGAAGACTGGACTTTCTACTCCCAGAAAGACCTAGAGTCTTGGATCTACCCTTTGCTATAAGGTTATTGCGAGTCGACATCAACTCAGTGGAAGTGAGTTTTGAGCCTTTGTACAAAGAGCCTGGTGACAAAGGGTAAGCGCGGGGCTGCGAGCCAGCAGTTCAAGCCTCCCATCCGCTCCACGGGAGAAAGATGAGTGTGTCTGCCCCCCTCATAACTCAGTCGTAACTGCCTCCCTAGCAGCTGGTTTGCTTTGGGGGGTGACTTTACGGAGGCCTGGGGGCACAGTAGAGGAACCCTGGTAGCGAGGTGATTCCGCGTTGGGCTGCAAACTGCAAGGTCAGTAGTTTGAAACCACCAGCCGCTCCGAGGGAGAAAGCAGAGGCCTTCTCCTGTAAAGCGTGACCGTCTCAGAGCGCACAGGGTCGGTTCCACCCCGTCTGTCCTGCATGATCCCGTGAATCGGCAACCGCTCGATGGCAGTGAGGTGGCTCAGGGCTCAGCACTGGGCTGTGAACTGCAGTCCTTTCTTAGGAGAAACGGGATGAGACTGTTCCCATAGGCAGGGCCACAAGGAGTCGGAACCTACCCCACGGCGGGGGTGGGTTTAGGGTTTAGAGTGGCTGCTAGTGGGCGGGCGAGATGCCGTCCCTCCTCGCTCTGGTCTGGGAGCACAGTGCTCTGAGGGGTGCCTGCGTTCTTTTCCCAGCAGCCCCAGGAGGTAAGGACAGAGACCTCTTGGGCCTGTGTACAGAGCGGGGGTGGGGAGGGAGCTGACGAGGACTGACCTGGCCCACAGCACAGGCAGGGGCCAGCCTGGGCGTGACTCCTGGCCCTTTCTGCAGGTGTTTGTTGAGATGTGGCTGCACCACTACTCCCTGGAGATGTACCAGAAGATGCAGTCCCCTCACGCCAAGGTAGGTCTGCTCTGCCTGGGCACACCCTCCTCCCCACCCATGAACAGTGTTTGGGCTGGAGGGCCAGATGGTGGGCTGCCAAGACCCACCTCTGTCCTTACGTGCACACAGTATGCAAGGTGGGTCTTACTCGCCAGTGCTGAGGTGGTCTGCCCTGGAGGCAGGACAGCCAAGGCAGGGTGGTCTGGGCTCCTTTGCACCCGCTTCCTGCCGCTTCCAGGGCCTGGCTTTGGGCGCCAGGCCTCTCTTCTGGCTGCAGCACCTGCAGCCAGCACCCTGTGCTGGCCCTCACCACCTGTGTGCCCACACTGCCCTCACCCTCTGCTGAGCACCTTTTAGCACACACTTGTCCCGGTGGGCATGGCTGCACATTCCTGCCTGGGGTCACTGCCTCCTTGAGCATCCTGGTCACTGACCAAGTTCAGGGCAGACTTGAGACCATCCTCAAGTGTGAAGAATTGATGAAAGGTAGTTATCGGAACCCTGATGGCACAGTGGGCTAAGCAAGCAGTGGTTTGCCCCCACTAGCCACAGGGGACCAAGGATGGAGCCGTCACCGTCTGTGGAGATGGGCGGTCTCGGGAACCCTGTGAGCAGTTCTGCTCTGTCTCGTAGGGGCACCACCCAGCGTCAGTGTCAGCCCGCCACCGTTGGGTGTGGTTTGGTAAAGACTGAATATGTCTTTTCACTTGACTCCCATCCTGCCTCGGAGCCTCTGAAACCAGAGGGGCGTGTGGGGACCCCAGATCTACCACCCTGGCCACACATGAGAGGCAGCAGGGCCGGATCTCACAGCCAGGACTCTGCATGGGCCTCCTGAAGTGCGAAGGGTCTGCCCTTCCTGGTTCCGGGCAGTCTGCCGCATGGGGCAGTGGCCGGGCTCGGGCTGTACAGTGTTCGCTTTAGCCTGTCTGTCCTGTCTTTCAACCGAGCCCCTTCCTCCCTCCCTGTGACCTTTGACCTTGTCTGCTGGGAAGGTACTTTAGAGGGGCTGTGACCTCAGAGGGGGTTGCTTGCTTTGGGGGAACATGGGGTGGGGGCTCTGGGGGAGGCTCTTCTTCCTGTGGGGGCCAAGGCAGTGTCCTAAAAATGTTGGGGGTTCTCACAGTTCGTGGGCTTGAAGCTCTCCCTCATCCTGGGGGTGCAGGTGTACCACTCACTCCAGGAGGCCCCACTCGGGGGAGGGGGGTGTCTCAGCATCATTCTACCAGCCTCCAGTCCTGGGCTTCTCTCCCATCCAGGGGTCCCGCTGAGAGCGGACAGGGAGTGGGTGAAGGGAAGGGGCATTGTTCACTCCATCCTCCTACCAAGCGTTGGGGCTGACTGCCTGCGTGCCTTTTCCCAGCCTGCCTTGCATGTGCCTGGGTCTCTCTGGCTGACGACAAGGTGCTGCCTTTCCTGTGGGGATGGGGGTGCTTGGGGCATGACCTTGCAGGGTGGGGTGAGTGGTGGGCCCAATGTGGGCTGTGCCTGGCTGGGGGGTGGCTTCTGCTGGCTTCCCTGGGGCTGGACCAAGCCCACTCTTGTTGTGACTGCTGCCCACCGTGATGCCCTCACTGCCCCTCTGTGTCCACTGGGCTGCTTCTGGAAGCAATGCACACACCGCCACTGCCACGACCCCCGCCCAGGATCCCAAAGAAAGGACAGGACAGTGGGCGTGTAGGTACTAGGGAGCCAGGGACCCTCAAAAGCCAGCCGGCACCGAGTTCTCTCTCACCCCCAGAGCTGACCTTACTGTTCTTAGCAGTTTGCGGCTATGAGGCCTTGGTGGTTAGCCTGCGGGGCGCGCGCAAGGGCCCCTTAGCTCCTGGCTGGCCGGGCCAGGGCCAGTCGCTCTGCCCTCCTGAAACCAGAGAGGCAGCGGGGGCCAGAGTCAGTGGCCCCTCAGCTTGAAGGCCCTCTTGGCCCTCCTGGCAGACCTGGAGCGGTCTCCCTTGGGCCCCGGCTGGGGTTGGTGGTGCTGGTGTGGATCTCCACTGACTGCGTTTGTTTTTGTGTTGCTTCTCTGCTTCCCTCTGGGCTCACTCTCGCTTGTCTCTCCCCGCCCACTCCGGCCGTCCTCCTGCTGCTCCTCCCGGCTCGCCCGCTGTCTTTTGTTTCAGCTGGAGGTTCTGCACTATCGCCTCAGTGTCTGCAGCGCCCTCCACAGTCCTGCCCAGCCCGGCTCCCAGGCCCTCCACACCTACCAAGTACCGGCCCTTTGTTTGCTCTGTCTTCTCCCGCCCCG